TTTTTGTGGAACCGGGGATTGAACTCAGGCCCTTGCGCTCACCAGTTTTTTGTTTGTTTGTTTGTTTGTTTTTTTAAGACAAGGTCTCACTATGCAGTTCAGGCTGCCTGTGAACTCACCACATACCCCAGGCTGGCCTCGAACTTGCAGTGATCTTTCAGCCTCAGCCCACAAATACTGGGATTACAGAGGTGTACCACCACAGCAGCTACGTCTAACTTCTTCAATCAAGGGCCTCTTCAGGCTCACATCCTATCAGTACCTGCAACGTTCTTTATGCCCCTTTGTCTAAACAAGCAGTGCAGGCAACACTATTCTTTCTGCTTAGCACATTTGTCCTCAGTGTTCAGCTCCTTTTTTCCTTTCCCTTTGCCAAGGAGGGAACCTAGGGCCCTGTACATGCTAATCATACGCTTTACCACTAAGCTACGTTCCTACCTCCATGCTCACCTGCTCAGTTCTTTTCAGCACCTCCCTACTCCAGCAAAAGATCTTTCCTTGCTGTATAGCCAGGCTGGCCTCAAAGTGCTGATCCTTGGAGCCTAGCTGCCTGCAGGCTACAATTACAGGCAGGCTGCATCATGCCTAGCTCCCACAGTCACTGGTTTACATCCAGCTTGAAAATGCTCATCTCCACCAGGAAGCCTCCTCTCACGTCCCCTACTGCCCCCAAGGATCGGCATTGCCCTTCCACAGTGTGTTGCATTCTCCTGGCCCATCTCATGATGTCTTGTCATCTCCTTGCTGAAAAATCCATCTTAACAGGAGAAAAGGGCCAGATTTTTTAAAAAATTCTCAGCTGACATGCAATAAGTGCTCAGTGTCTGCTGAATTAATAAGAGCATTATAGCAAAAGTTAAAAAAAAAAAAAAAAAGGTCACTTTCAACATTTCCTATTGCAAGAAACAGGGATCTTCTGGAATATACAAAGAAAGAACAGGATAAGAGAGATATAAAAAATCACTTGGGGAGCCGGGGAGATGGCTCAGTAGAATAAGCACTTGCCTGGCAAGTGCAAGGGCCTGAGTTCAATCCCTAGTTCTGAAAAAAGTGCCCTGAAGGCATTCGAGGAATAAAATTTTGGTGTTGTAACTAAAAAAAAAAAAAAAAAAAAAAATCACTTGGATTTTCACCCACCCATGTGTGTGTACATTTTTGTTAATTTTAGTAGAAAAGAATTTTTTTTTTTTTTTTTGGTGGAACTGGGGATTGAACTCAGGCCCTTGTGCTTGCCAGGGAAGCACTTATTCCACTGAGCCATCTCCCCGGCCAGAAAAGGAAATTTTATGTATACATAAAACTCTAGCTTCCTAGATAGTTTCAAACATCTGCACTTACAAAGTGGCTGGCATTTGTCACAGCATCTCCATCTTCACTTGTCCATCTGTGGCCTGGATGGAACGCAGCTGATATCCCAGGTGAAAATGTCATCCAGAAATCTGATTATTAGGATCACAATTAGTACACTGTGCAGCGCAACACAAAGGACTTTCACATAACAGAATTTCCCCAAGCATTAACCTTGTGCCACACGGGCCTCTTATAAGACAGCTGCTAATTCCTTAGCTTCCAGAGTCACTAGAGGAGGCTGGGTGTGATGATCTCAGGAAGGCACAGATCTAGGCAAAAAAATAGCCATCATTGTTTTTTTTTCGTTGCATCTGGAGTCCTAAAAACTTGCCAAGGAAGCGCTTTTCCAATAGTATGCACTGAACGATGGAAGGGCTGTGGCAAAGCTCCATCCCTACCGCAGGCAGCACTGGAAGCTTTGGCAGCCAGGAAACTGAGTTGGAGGAGATCTTTTGTGGTCTCTGGGGTTAGGCTTTCTGGGCTGGGGCCTGGCACTAGCAGTTTCTAGCTTGATGGACTCAAAAGAGCAAAAGTTGCTCTGGCAAGGAGCTGCAGGAAGGATTAAATGGCAGGGTACACGTAAAGCGCTGAGTGTGGTGCCAATTACGTTACTCTGATTATGACAAGAATTCAGGAAATGTTAGCTCTTATTATCATTTGTCAAAATGAGCCTACTACTTAGCTTGGAGCTTATCTTTACAACTCTGCCTCCTCCCAACAGCTCTACCTTGATCTCCGTGGGATCAAAGTTCACAGAGAAATGGGGGTGTGGGGGAGCAAGGTGTTAGTTTCTGATCAAGGAAGCAGCAGAAATAGCAAAGACAGGGAAAAGAAAACAGGCCATGTCCATGGGACGCCAACGCCTGCCTGTGCAACCAGCTGGGTTGCAAAACAACAGATCTGCCAGCTCAAGTGGGAGAGAAAGGAGGCCCAGAAGTAAAAAGAACTAAGATATGTTGTGTACAGGCACCAGCTCCGTATGA